TGGTGGATGTAGTCTACTTTACTACTGTGATAGGCCACCGCATCATGTAAACTGGCTTTTAAGCTTACTGAGCTTCACCCTGAAAGCAGGTAGGTTCATCATGCTGCCCATTATATCTGTTGGGAAGCTGTTGTAAATGTCTCCTCTTTGGTGGGAGGCTTTCCTCTGACTTCTAGCCCCCATTTATTTGGGGTTACTTTATACCTATTTATTCTTTTGTCAGTATTATCCTTTAGTTCAAATAGCTCCCTTTCATCCTTGGCATTTCCCCGTGGTGTATTTAGAGAGCGCAGTTTTATTCCATCCAGCCGTTGTTTTGTTGGGCATGGGGAACTAGGCAATTTTTGTCCCTTCTGATGTTGTAAGCTCCCGTTCATCGTTCCCATCTGAGTGATGCATCTCTGCACCTGATCTGCTTTCTCTTTTCTTTTATCAATAACTAGAGAACAGTGTATTCTATTAAGGGCTTGCATGAAGACATTACTATTTTCCCTGCCTCTACTGGAAATAAATTTAGGGGGGTTGGTGCCTGCCTTCCAGTGATGGCTTATGGTCAGTCACCCTGCAATCTTAATCGACTTCTCTGCCTCTTCAAATAGATTAATCCTACGCTTGGAATAAGGATTCATATTTGCATTGAAAAGCATGTTCTTGGCCATCATATTTAATCCCGTTCCTGCCGTTTCCATCTGCAAGTTCATTCATTTCTTCCTCTGATAATCTAGTCCTCCTTTCTGTTGCCAGACATGCTGGAGATAAAATGCTGAGAAGCAGTGCTTGGTCACTAAAGAAAAATTAGAGCTCTCCCTGCACCAGTATTCACGGAATCCAGTACTGAAATTTAAGAACGCTGTACACAGTTAAGCCCAGGTCCATCCACGTGCATTCATATAATTTCTGATATACTGATTTTCTTACAGGCATAACCAGTAATCTCTTCTTTAATTATTTTGCATACCTTCTACCTTGTTCCTTAGTTGCATATTCTCCAGTCTCTGGGTTTCTGGGTTTCCCAAGAGGTCTGCTGCATTACTTCCCCCTCCCCCCCCTTTTTTTTTTTGTTGAAGAAAATAGGGCGAAAAAGATTAGGTTTCTTGGCAGTTAAACTTTTTTCCCTATTTCAACTTCCATATCTATATCCTTCAAAACTAGTTTCACTTCCTTGTTTGTTAATTAACTTCAGAGTTACGGGACTGTAGTTGTGTCACCATTTTCTTCTTTCTTGGTATTGTTTGCTAATCTCTCTGCATATCCCACTGCCGTTTTTGGATGGAATTAGTAAAAATCCCTTTTAATGAATTTATAAGCTATTCTATGTGAGGATAATCCTGTAAAGACTAGCTAGACTTTTATGAAATACGCACTCCTAGGGACCTCGGGTTTGAAAGAGGCCTTGTAGTTTTTGTTCTTGAAAGAAGTAATTTTGCTAGCAGCATGCCAGAGGACTTCATTGTTCCCCCACCCCCATTTCCCTTCTTAAAAAAAAATAAATAAATTTGCACAACTTTCAATAAGTATGTTTTGCAAATAGGCTTGCCTAATCCGTGCTATAAATGTTCTGAATAATATGGGCCAAAAAGTGCAGAGGAGTGGCAGGAATTTACAGCTAGATTAGGTCGACGGTATTTCCTCTCTCGGCAAGCTGGTCCTAGATTAAACGCTCATAAATTTTCAAGAATTTAAGATAATTATAGCTTTACAGGAAGTGTTGAAACCTTTGCTTTCCTACAGAAGAATCTTCGGCATTCTTACATCCATCTGAAGTTTGTTATCCTACTGCAACCCTGTTCTAAAGTCACATGCCTTCCCAGTTGCACATAAACATCATCGTATTTCTTTTGTTTGGCATTTTCATATTTGAATATTTGCCAGGTTTTTGACAGTTTCATAACAAAGTGACCTTAAGCAGTGATATTTATATAATGTCTAATAACTTGTCTTGAAAATGGCTGTAGTTGAGAACTGCTTTAGAAAGCAGAAGATAGGCTCTCCAGACTCTGTAGCCTATACTCTGCTTTTTCGAGGCTGGATGACGTTTTTGCATGATTTGTGGGAGGATGCGGTAATGGTCAGTGTACCACACAATACCGAGTTTTAGTGGATTTCTTCCAAACCTGCTCTCCACTGAAAGTGAATCACTGCCCCTTGCAACACTGTGGGGAATGTGGTAAAAGGTTAACGATTCCCCAAGGAATTTAAGAATGAAAAAGGCCTTTTGTATTGGTATAAACTTGTATGTCTTCGCCGAGCTGTTTTGATTTCAGCTGGGTTTCTTTTCATGGAGGAACTTTCCACAGAGTTGACTAGAAGAGTAAGATCTCTGGCACATCCCTGTTTTGCTTGTTATAACTTGGTGAAGCTCATGGTTGTGCAGGAGATGATGTCAAATCAATAAGGAAGTGATTTAAAGAAGGTCTGATAAATATCAGATGTGATTTTTATCTGGTTGAGAAGACTGTCTCTCAAACTGGGATTTGAATCTACTTTGTGAGAATTTAGAAAAACTAACTTGTTATTTAGGTACGCTCCTGCTTCACATGTTCTGAAACAACCTTTTTTTCCATTTGGTTTGGAATTTTCTGTAAACCTGTTGTTGTGTTTTAACCCGCCAGGCAGCTTAAACACCACACAACCCCCAGTGGGACGGGGGGAGAGGATCAAAAAAAAGGTAAAACTCATAGGCTGAGGTAAAGACAGTTCAATAGGACAGAAAAGGAAGGGAAATAATGATTAAAAAAATAGATACAAAACAAGTGAGGTACAATGCAATTGCTCACTACTCGTGGACTGATGCCCAGCTTGGCCCTGAGCAGTGGCCGCCTGCCACCCCCCGGCCTGCTCCCCCCAGCCTTATATGCTGAGCATGACATCGCATGGTATGGAATATCCCTTTGGCCAGTTTGGGTCATCTGTCCTGGCTGTGTCCCCTGCCAGCTTCTTGTGCACTCCCAGCCTCCTCGCTGGCAGGGCACTATGAGAGGCCAATAAGTCTTTGACTTAGTGTAAGCACCGCTGAGAGTGAAAAATAGGTGCTTGAATTAGAGGAGTGACTCAGACATGGCCTGCTCACTCTTGTTCTTTGTTTTGGAAAGTGAAACTCTTGTGAGATTTTCAGCTGAATAAAAAAGCCAGATACAGGGTTGGTGGTTTTTTTTTTGGCCTCTCTGTAGCCTCATACATTATATTTTTCATTGAGATATTTGGAAATGAGTTTCAGTTTTATATATATTTAACTGTTGGCGTATGAAAGTGTGCAGTTTAATTTATGTAAGCAATGTTCTGCATTTTAAATAGATTTGCATTTTTTCCCAAATTGCATGTCATTTTGTTCCCATTACATAACTTTTATTCTCAAAATTATGATTGGTGGTTAGAATAAAAAGCTGATTCTGCATCCCTTCTGCTGAGAAATGTACCATTTCCTTATGCTTCACTTAAACTTCTCAGTATTTCATTGTACTTTTGCATAGGCCAATACAGTTTGGAAAAAAAACAAAACAAAACAAACCATTTAAGTCGGACTGGGAGCGTAGTCTTAAAGACAACAAAAAGAAAGGTTCCTTCATCTTCCCCAGTGCTGGAAGAGTCGCCATGCCCTTGGACGCATCAAGAAGAGTGTGGCCAGCAGGTCGAGGGAGGTCATCCTCCCCTTCTCCTCTGCCCTGGTGAGGCCACACCTGGAGTATTGTGTCCAGTTCTGGGCTCCCCAGTTCCAAGAAGGACAGGGATCTGCTGGAGAGGGTCCAGCAAAGGGCTACAAAGATGATGAGGGGACTGGAGCATCTTTCTTACGAGGAAAGGCTGAGGCACTTGGGATTTTCAGTCTAGAGAAGAGAAGACTGAGGGGGGATCTTCTCAATGCTTATAAATACTTAAAGGGAGGGTGCCAGGGGGATGGGAACAGTCTTTTTTTCAGTGGTGCCCAGTGACAGGACAAGAGGTAACAGGCACAAACTTGAACATGGGAAGTTCCATCTCAACATGAGGAGGAACTTCTTTCCTTTGAGGGTGGCAGAGCAGTGGCACAGGCTGCCCAGAGAGGTGGGGGAGTCTCCCACTCTGGAGACATTCCAAACCCACCTGGACGCGGGCCTGTGCAACCTGTTGTAGATGACCCTGCTCTGGCAGGGGGTGGGACTGGATGATCCCCAGAGGTGCCTTCCAACCCTGACCATTCTGGGATTCTGTGAGAGCTGGGCTCTTGGTATGTTCTTGCTTTCTCTGATCTCTGCAGCACGTGTCATTTCTTCATGTTGTACCCCAGCTTGAGCAGGAGGGGTGGAGAGCAGTGGTGTCTTGCTGAAGGTCAGGCTTTTGATAAGCTTTGACAGTTGCCTGTCATGCCGATCAGTAGTGGCTTCCGACTTTTTGCTGTTCCTTATCATAGCCTCCTACAGTCTTTGGTCTTACGTTGCGATGCTGTATCGCAGGTCACGTCTGGCTTGTTCAGTGTGTGCGCCGTGACTAGCACACTAATATTAAACACTGAACTGGTTTCATTTGGGAACAAGTCACTCCATGACCTTAAAGTATTTGAAGGGAGTGTGGAGGAGAGAGTTCCAAGAATAACTTTAAGAAAAGAAAAAAACAAACAAACAACTCTTTTAAAATACCAGGCTTGAACTATTTGGGGCTTATATCTCCTTAAGGAATTGGGTTTTAATTCGTGAGCTGTGCAATCAAGGTAACCCTGTTTTTCCTGCCTCCTGCCAAGAAAGTGAGCACAATCTACGCCAAACTTTCCAGTTAAATCAGTATTTTACTACTATCCAAACACGTGGAAAAGGACAAAAGAGTTAAAATATCCTCAGCCTTCAAGTCGTTAACTGTGTTGTACAAAAATATAGCTTTGTAATTTGTATGAAAGCAGAAGACAGTGTCCAAAAAGGTGTAGCTTTCTGGATGAAAAACTGTTGAAGCTGTCTTTAATGAGTGAATGCAGCTTTGTTTAGTGTGTAGTACCCAATTCTAAATCTCTGCTTTTCGTTTCTGCCCTACAGGGAACACAGTGAGTAACCTGATTTTCATTCTACCTCCAATCTATGGTGCGATTCAGACCTATAAAGATGGCCTTGAAAAGCGGTATTTAGCTGCATATTTGTGTCTTACAGGTATGTGTAAAACTTAATTTGCTCTTTCATTATAAAGGGAGCTCAGATATGCAATGAACAATATCCGAGTAGTTAAATCCAAATACTGTGTGTATGAAACATAAAACTCAATTTGTTATACTTGTTAATGGTAACAGAAAATGGCTATATGTTGGAAGGACGTGAAGTTAGAATTCACTAAATAACTTTATGAGGTGTTGAATTGGTCCTTCTCTGTCTTTAAGTCCTGCTCAGTATTTGTTTATGGTGATTTAAGTACTGTATCCGTTTATGTTGATTTACACAAGACACACGATGTCTTGTATGTCCTACCTCCAAACAATTTCACACTATATTAATATTTTTGTGACATTTGTGTGGAAGAGTAATACAAGAAATGGCAAAGATCTTGAAGGAACTGGAAAAAAACATTCTTGATGAGTACGAATTTGTTTTCAGTTCCTCTTTGGCATTTATTACTCAACAACCTAACGGCCATCGTACCTGGGAAATTTTGCAAGCATGGAAGAACAATGTGACATTGGTGCATCAGTGAACTTCAGGGCAGTCTGTTTTTTCTAACATAGCAAAATCCCCAAAAGAACCAACTACCTTTAAAATATTAATTATGCAACTGGAAGTCATGTTCCTTATGAGAAAAGAAGATGTTTGAAGATGGTTCAGATTTGGCAGTTGGGTCTCGAAGTAGGTTTCACAGAATTTCTGTGTTTCACAGGATTTTTGTTTGCGATAGCTCCTATCTCTGTGGAGGCTGTATTTCCCAGTCTTCTCAGTGGTAAGAGCTTGGTTTATTTTAAATGTTACTTTTAAGATTGGCATACTTATGTATTTAGACAAACATATCTCTGTGCTAAATGTCTTCTGGATGCCAATTAAACTGTAACATATACTAGGTACAGCTTCATGTTTTTTAAGTTACTGCAGCTTTGCTCATATGTGTGAAAGATAAGCAGAAACAATGTACAGCTTTGGATGTTATCTGAACAGTTTCCAAATAGCCATTTGTAGGCTTTTTATGGTTTTTGAGTAATTGCTCATTTTTGTCTCAGTAAAAAATAGTTTGGCAGAAGAAATTCCTTGAAGGTCGGGGTTTCCTTTTAAAAAGACAGGGAAAGAAACCGTGCGTAAGCATTTGCTGGAGTTGACTCTTGGCATGTTCTTGAATCAAAGTAGCCTATACTGCCATTCTTTCTAAACTTTAAAAAAAAAAAAAAAAAGTAAAACTGTGTTTGAAACTCAGTCTTCACTGTAACTTGTGGCTACCTCCGTCAGTGACACTTCATGATGGACGAAGTGTGCCACTATGTGACTAGAATGTCAGGCTGTCACTCAAAGACTGCCCTGAGTGGGCATTTCTCATATACTGTTAAAGTCTTTTTGTTGTTTTTTGGTTTTGTTTGTTTTTTTTTAAAGTGTCTGCCTTTGATCACAATGAATACCATGGACTTCAGTTTTATCCTGTTCTTGGTGTTCATGAAGGGAAGCTCAGCCTGCGTATTTGACCGCAGGGCTGGAGGGCAGTCCTGAGTTCCAGCTGGCCTCTGCTCATCTGTGACTGGGATGCCTTTGACTCCTGTCTGAAGTGATAAACGCTTGCATGGCTTGATCTTTATCTCATATGTTGGAACCTAACATTAAAGGTCACTCCCAAAAATGTTTCTCTTCTGTTTTGTCTCTGCTTCAATATTCGTAATACTGAACTGTTTTACAGCAGTTGAAAGATGTAAAGGCATATAGAAGGCTGTATAGTTTCTCAGTCAAAACCAGCAACAGGATGATTTGGAATCACAAACCTCTTAACATTTGTTCTACTACAGAATAAAAGCAGCAAATGGGAAGATAAACAGAATTTTAAATATAGTTGAAATGTGCCAGGAACACTGGCATTCTTTCTGTGCACGTGACTGAATGAGAAGCATACTGAAGTGGAGCTAGAGTAAGTGTACAGAAATGTCTTTTTGTAAGGAAGTGCCAGAGAGAATTCTTTCCCTTACAGTAATTTTATGTATTAACACATTTCACTCTAATTTGTAACAAACGAGTATAGACTTAATCTGTAAAGGGATAGTGAATTTAACACAAACTTCTGATTTCTCTTCAGACACCGTGCTTCATTAAAGACCACACAGCAGAGCTTCTGACTAGCTAGTAGTATCTAAGGGTTCTTTTGTTAAAGTAGAAACTCTTCAACAATTCTATTACAAAGATGGGGGTGGAAGGGAGGGCACTTTAGTTAGGTTTTAACAACTTTGAATCATTAGTGAGATTTTACAAGATGTTAAAAGACAGCTGTCAAAGCGGACATTAAAATTAAAGCTGTTAGCATTTGAGAACATAAGAAGTGTTGTTTCTAGACATTATTTTGATCCAAATCAGCTGTTTCTTTTGGATGCTTCCAGAAATTTAGCTGATTGTCAGTTCCTTTGTGTTTTACCATGCCGTGTTCAGTGCTTCACTTTATATCCCCCAATTTCTTTTGTTGGCATTTATTTCCTCTTTGAACCAAATGCATTTTGAATTAGGGAACATTTATTTCACATACATGATAAGATCCAAAGCTGGCAGAACAAGAAGGGGGATTTCTAAATAACTGTTCAAATAAATTTCTTGTTCATACTGGTGCCGAGACTGAGTTGTGCTTTTCAGCAAGTTTTTTGATACAGCGTGCTGTTCTTAGCCCTTATTTCTGCTGCCTTTCAGCTCAAAGGGCACATTGGCAATGAACTCAATAGTAACTGGATGTGATTTTTAAGCTTTAGAGAACTATTTAATCAACTATAAATTATGAAGAATAATCTTAAGCAATTACTTTAGCATGTTGCATCTCATGAAGTAGGTGGGCGGATCATCAGGCTGTCACTGCCTTGAAGAATAAGCAGTTGTTTTTGGATGGTTCCTATGATGCTGTGGTATTGTATGAGGTTCTGCCATATCTCATTTCCTCAGGTATCCTGGGAAACTATGATTCCCAAATGCTTCATACTCTAGAAGGGTCTCAATTTAAAAACCATTATGTGTGTATATATATATTCAAAAAAAAGCGTAACCGTTTTGAACCTAAGATGATAAGAAAAAGCAATCAATGGAGTTGTATTCTTTATTAGATGCTTTACTTAAAATTTGGAAGGATGTTTTATATATCTTTGGCCTGTTTAATAGGACTCAGTCATTCAAGCTGTGCCAAAGTGAAGGAAAAAAAGGATGTAAAAATTTTTCTAGGTTAGGCATCGCCATAGGAACTTGTAAACAACTTACTAAACTTCATTTCCAGCGAAACTCTGTATCTTGGGAAATAGTTGTTAGAAGCCCTTCAGTCAAAGTTAATTCCCTTGTTCTTACCTATCAGCCGTAGAGAAGGTGCTTAGGCCATGTCGACATTAGTAAATCAAATGTGCTCATGAACATTCCTGAGTGCTGAAGCCAAGCAGCGTGGAACAACCCATGTCTGTTCGTCTTAGCCTCCAAAAAAAAGGTGACTACATACAAATTCCCTGCTGGGCACGGGCCCTGGGCTCTTCCGGCTGTTGGGCTGTGCCTGGGAGCTGCTTGGGGAAAGGGCGAGGTGGAACAGGCCAGATTCACGCCGCAGACTGTTCCAACAATTTCCTAGCACAGACGGTTCCATTATAGTGTCTGGGAACAATCCCAGCTGTGCTCGAGTTCACTTGTAGAGCTGTACCCTTGGAGCAAGCAAGGTCTCTCCTGTCTCTTACGTTGTGGAGGGAAACCATTGCAAAACAAAATAACTCAATAAAAATCGTTCACTTAATTCTACTTTTTCATCTTGTTTCATTCTTTGACTGTTTTTGGTGCAGTACATTGTTGTTTATCTTTAGGTCAGTTCTGTCATTGTAAGAAACCACAGGTGGAATTCGGCTCCAGATTCAAACACCTAAACTTGTGTCTACCTGTGCAGAGGGATCTGTCTCCCATTGCTAAGCCTAGAGAATCATTTGGCTCATTCTAAAATATGCCCTTATATTTGGCCAGCTGCATTACTCTTCATAATGCCATTCTCTTTCGGGGAAGTTTTCACACCTAGTTCATGTGTAGATACCTAAATAAAGGTGTTTGCATCTGGAGCATCCTTCCTTCAGAATGTTTTCACAGAATCATAGAATGGTTTAGGTTAGAAGGGACCTTGAAAATCATCTAGTTCCACCCCCCCTGCCATAGGCAGGGACACTTCCCACTAGACCACTTTTGTACAGTGCCCAAACTGTTTAAATTCAACCACATCTATGAAATCCTGATAAACTACTTTTTCTATAAAGGCTCGAGGCTTATGATAAGAATTTTGAACGCTAGTGGATAGTCTTACATCAAAATGAATTATCACTGATTATATGATACTTCTGATTCCTCCTAAAACTATTGAAAAATTTGTAGGAGCTATTTGTGTCCCTGTAGCGTTGAAAACCTGAGAGTTTATACGGTTCATATACGGAGCTGCATCTCGTGTATAATGTGAGATTATTTCTAGCATGGATATTGCCTTGAAGTCTTTGACGGTGTAAGCACAGTGAAATAACTGTGTATGAAGTAGAGTTTGCAGATGCATTACATTTACATAGTCACTAACACAATTACTTTATCAACTGGCAGTAACCACACATCGCGTTCGCCGCGGAACAAAAAAGACCATGTTAGTTTGCAAATAGCAGCTAACCTGACTTTGCATTTCCAGTCTTTTTAAGTGCTATTCTGATCTCATAATATTGTGACCTAATGTGTATTCTGTGCTTAATATATAATTTATGTACAGCCCCTGTAACTTGAGAGGTTCGTTGATGTAAAAAAGCTGAGTGACTTGTAGTACCTATGAAAAGGGAGTTGCAGTAGCTGGAGGGGAAATGGTATTGCTGCCGATGATGTTAAAACATCCCAACCCATATGCAGCTTTTAGTGAGTTAAGGTCCTTTGCAAAAGGAGACACCTAAAATGAAAAAGGTAACCTCTGCTTACAAGATAAGGAGCAAATCTACTGCTCAGTTTGTCAGTGGCTGTATGGGAAGGTTGCTTCTATTGAAAATTGGTCTAGTTGCAGTGATTGTGTTCACTCATATTTTGAAAAGTACGAAGCTGGTAGAATGTCTCATTGCAAGTGATGGTTTTTGTGAAATGTCTTGATCCTGAAGTTATGTGATGAGAAGTATATCCAAAGATATCTGTATTCCAGTAGAGCTGCAGGTAGAAGCTACATGTGAAGACATTTGAGCTTAAGTATTCAGCTTGTTACACAGAAGCAAGCAGTTTGTTTATTATTTTTAGAAATTAATTATAGTAATGGGATTAATGACCTGAAACGCTAATATTTGCAGCATTCTTGATTTTTGCAAAGGCTGGAAAGGAAAAATAATCTAGAAATAACTGCTCATAATTGTATAGGAGGAAGGGGAGGAGTTCAGTAGCTGAGTGTTGAGATTTATTAATCCTGGTTACATTAACAAAAAAAAAAAAACCACAAAAAATACCCCACCCCAACAATTTACATTGAATTAATTTAAAATCACTTGATGTTTCTTATGCAATGATTTTGCCCATATTTGAAAATTACACTTGTTACAAATTGTAAGAGCTTGTATCATGAAGATACTGAAATCACTGTGACAGCCAGGATAATGGATGGTACTGTTTTAACGATGATCTTAATGGTTTTTTTTTCTTCAGAATGAGCAGTAGTTGCAATATACTCTGTGTACATAAAAAAATGGCTATGAGAATTTCTTATTAAAATCTAAATGAAGGTGAAAAACAGTTGTTGCTTATTGTTTGGAAAGATTTTTCAGCAGCAAAACAATTTAATCAGAACTTACAGAATTGCATATGGTTGTTTATTTCTGATAGACAGCCATGCTTAATTTTGCCAGAGAATTAATGACATTAAAGTATTTGGTAATACGTTTTTAAATGTGGCTGTATTGCAGTTTTATGTTTCAGTAGAGTTACATGCGTAAGTATTTCATTTCACTGAGTACATGTGATAATCACAATTCTAGGCTAATAGCATCAAAAGAAACACCTCCAGACATGTCTTATCAACTGTCTGGGGAATCCCTTACAAAATGCACAATTTTTTAGATAGAGGGCTGTTTATGCATCAGTGAAATCTGGCTGTTGTGTGTAGAAAAGGTGATGCTCTTGCAGCAAAGCACGGCAGCACTACCCAGGGATCGAGGCTCGAGTGCAAATTACTTGGCTTTCTCTGAAACTGGAGTCTGAGGTAAAACCATAATTTCTTGAAGGAAGACAAGACATCGCATTAATGTACTTGTTCTTGCACAACAAAAATGAGCTGGTGCTTAATGAGAGCGTTGAACTGGTAACATTTCAAAGTACCGAATGATACATTAAATACCAGTTTTTACTCTAAACAGTGGAATCTAGCTTCTGAGATATATTGTCCTTGTCTAACTGAAAAAGCTGTGTATAGGCAAAGTATATATCTCATAAATTAATTTCAGAAGCAAATTCAGAGTTTAAAAAGAAAGTATTTCAAATAAATATAAAACATTACATGGAAGGAATGGGCTTCCAAGAAAAAGGCTCAGAAATGGTGTTCTCGTTTCATAAACCAAATCCACACTGCATGGGGTTTGTTTATTTACCCTGAATTTCTAGTTTTGAGTTCTAGTAGCAGTTCATTTCTGCTTCTAGAGCTGGAAAAAAGCTCCTTGTAAAATTTACCTTTTTAACTGGACAATAAGTAGAAATATCACAGGCTTTCAGGAGTACTAGCAGTTGAACGATGCTTTATGTTATAGAAGGATTGAGACAGATAAATCTTGAAGTACTTAAGAGAAAAAAAAAAGAGGAAAAAAAAAAAAGAGAAATAGAGCGATAACTTGCTCATTCTGGGTTCCCTCCACTCCTTTCCTCAT